GATACACGCTCGTACGGCGCGGATTATTTACAAGACTGCTTGCGCGTCGCGTCGTCGGTATCATCTTCGCGTGCCGCCCCTCGCGCGTATATTTTTAACTCTTCGCCACGAGTAATATGGCGTAATAGATAACTGTCACGATAGCTCATCTGGGAATTTTTCGTGTTATTAGAACGGCGACGCTAATCGCCCGTGACTTCTCGTTTTATCAGCGAGAAGAGAGAGAGAGAGAGAGAGAGAGAGAGAGAGAGAGAGAGAGAGAGAGAAACCCTTCTAATCTCCCATACGTCTAAGCGAGATTCCGTACGGCGGCGGGCGAACGGCACACGTTCGACTCGGATGCCTCCTCCGCGAGCGACGAAAATCGAAATATAAGTACACGGGGGTTGTAATCGATTATTGCGCAACCGTAAATCTCGCGTTTCGTCCGCCTCGTCGTGAACGCGCCGCGAAAGAATAATTAATTTAAGCGATATTGTCCGGAGCGTTAATGTCCAGCTGGTCGATTTATCAATTATATACGACGTGCAATTAAATATAACAATTAGCGTGAGAATTTAAAAATAAAATTCGCTCGAATGTCAGAGAGAGGGAAATAATATAAGCGCGGAAAGTTACAACAACGGACAATTGCAACTGGTTAAAATGTTTCATCGCGCAACTGTTGTCGGCTCTTGCAAACATCGCGCTGGGCTAATAAGTGTAAATAGATATTATTTCGTTATTCTGTCTGAATATAAGATTCTTGCGAGAGGAATCTTAAAGATCACACTAAAGATCTGTCCCTCTCAGCTGAACTAGCCTATGAAAAATGTAGTTCTATCTAGTTATTCATCTGTTTAGTTCGGTTTTGTAAGATAGAATTCTATCTAGATGGGCCATTTAGTTGCAACGGAACTTTGTTCCTTTCTCCTTGAACGCTGAATCACATATTCATTTCACTCTAACGCCAAAAAGCGCGACCCAGCTCAACGGAGAATCTTAAGCTTCGTGAAATCAGACCTCGACCAAAAGTCTCGCGGGCATTAATACCGCGATCGCGTTATTTAATAGCGCCGTCTCTTCAAACGCAGCGAAATCATTTTCTCGACAGCGAGCTACCAGGGATAAAATAACCGTGGAGCCGCAGCTCGGTCGAGCCGGTGGAGCCGATGATCGAGGCGATCATCGAATCGCAGAGTCATCGGGCATACGTCTATCCTCGTCCGCGCGATGACGAGGCCGCACCGTGACGAACCGTATTGGGAGTGTCTACATCTCCCGGCGGTACTTTTGATTCCCAAACCCGCGACCTGCTGCCGTGAGCGGCAGTGAAACGGCAGTGTGGAACGCGTGGAGTTCGTGTCCTATTCGGCGCGGGAATCCCGCACGCGGCCGGGGCAAAACGAGCCTCTCCTCTCGTACATGGGAAAAACAAGCGAGCCGTGTAAGGTCCCCGACTATTACGAGGTCTCATGAGCGACCAGGAGAATGAAAAGGAGAGGCATCATCCTTCGGTACCAGCGTCCACGTTCCTTCTACGTGACGCGCCGCCGACTCGATTCTTATGACGCGGCGCATCACGTAGGAAGACGGATCTGAATGACGCTGTATATTATTGCAGGAAGTGACCGATCAAAAGGCTGATATAATTCTCAGAAATATCAAGGGCTTACGGGAGTTCATTGGATCTCATCGACTCGAATGATGAGACGTTTTACAATCAGATAATTGTTTGGTTGAAACTGGCAGATAGCGATAGTAAACATTGGATTGATGCGAAAGATTTGTCATTTTTCTATTAAATTCTCGTGAGAAATATGTGTATTAAAAGGAAAATAGATCCTCGTCAGATGTCTAAAAAGTCGATGTTGTTCATCTTGTTGTGGTTTTTAAATACACGGAAAAAAATAATTTGCTGCAGCAGCAAACTAATTTGCTACATATGAACAGTTAAATATAATTCGCTGTGTTAACTACTTTTTACTTGCTGCAGAAACCTATTTTCTTGCTACGATAACAAGTCTACTTCTACAACAGAAAAGTGGCTAACGTAGCAAATTTGCTACAGATGGACAACTAAACATAATTTACTGCTTTAGCTACTTTTTTGGTTGCAGGAGCAGATTTTCTTGTTAGCATAGCAAGGAAATTGGCTAATACAGCAATACTTTGCTCCTGCAGCAAAGGAAAAGTGGCTAATACAGCAAATTATGTTTAGTTGTCCATATGTAGCAGATCTTTTTTTTCCGTACATGTAAACTTTCAATGTAGAATATGTGTTATTAGTATACAGGGTGGAGGAGCATTGGTACTTTTATCCTTACATCGAATAGCTTTAAGGAAAGAGCAATCACCTAAAGTTCAACGTATAAATTGCTAAGAGGGCCGTTCAGTGAATGTCTCGACGAAGGAAACCTCGCCAGACGGTGGCGAGCAACCGTTCGCACGATTACCCGACGTAGAATCTCGTTGGGCATATCGAGAGTCGCGCTGCTCAAGCGGTAACGTGAAACATCTTCCTCACCGGAAACGATAAAAGATCCCGGATAACTTTCAGAATAGATTGCCGCTTTTCTCTCTCTCTCTCTTCTCTCTCTTTTTCTCTCTCGACAAGTTCTACTCGAACAATCGACGTAACGAGCCGCGCTCGGAATTCGCGCTATGGCCGTCCGTTCGCCCGTCCGTCCGTTCGTTCGTTCGTTCGTCCTCCCCCCCTCCCCCTGTGAAAGAAACACAAAATGATACAAAAATTCCGATGCCCGCCGGAATTGCGGCAGGTGTGCTCGCGCGGAGAGATTGGATAAGTTGGAATTGTTGTTGTCCTACGCTCGTTCGTCATTGCAACCTGTCACGAGACGAGTGACGAGAGAGAAAACCTTGCCCCCTGTTTCTCCCTTCCTCCCCCCTTCCCTCTCGGCGCGACCTGATATTAAAACGAAATCGGCGATACGTTATTTGCGTTCGGCCGGGTCGCGCACGGCATAAAATCGACCCAACAACCGGAGATGGGACGGCGGAGGCAGCATGAAGAAACGATGGAAAAAGAGGAAAAGGGGAGAGAGGGGGGACGGCAGGAGAGCGAGGAGGAGCGGACTTCCGCTGAACTGATTAGAGCTCTCGGGGTCTCTTCGGGGAAGCCTCGCGATGGAATGGAATGCGCTGGAACCCGGTGGACGCACATCACGAACGACGTTTCGCTCGCGATCGTTATCCAATTTCTATTTAAACGAGAGTATTAGAAGTCGATCTCCCGCCGCGGCGTCTTCGTCGGCGGGGAACCTCCGCTCCGCGCGCGATTTCGCGAATACATTTGAGCCGAAAGACAGTAAGACTTTCATATTATCTACACTGCATAAACGACGTGAGAGAAGATTTGTTCTTAGCTAATTTGGTGATCTTCCAAACAGCGTATACGTGGAGAGAATTTCATAGCGAAAATTACTATGAAATTTTTTAACTGAAGAATAGATCGACATTTTGCAGTAATTCAGTATCATCTCATTTCATATGTGCTACTTATATTTCGGGAACTGAAATGTACTTGAAACGCTGCATAGGGAAAAAAGTTTGGTTGAATTAACTAATTTCTCTCTGGAGAAATATAAAGGACACAGGAAATTCTGCGGTTAAAGTTACCAGAATTTCAAGTTTACCAGAAATCTTGTTAACTTTAACAAAATTCTGGTAAATTCAACTGGAATTTTCTAGTTCGTTCATATTTCATCAGAAATTTGTTTAATCCAACTAAGCTTTTTTCTATGTATATTTTTAGCGAAATTTATGTTTCTAATGAAATTTACTATTATTCAGAAGGACGATTTGTTGTGATTATAAAATTAGAGAGGACAATCGTTGCGCTAATATGCTTTTAACAAACATGCAATTCTGTCAGGCTTCGCGCGCAGCGTTTCATTTGCAGAAAGAAAAAAGGATATTATGCATCGCGAGGTAATCCTTTCAGCCGGCGATACAGATTCCAGGTATTTCGAGTTACCAGAAACGAAAAGTGGGCCAAGGGATCGCTAACCTAACCTAACGGTTTTACGACAGCCGATATTTTGTTAATTTTCGAGGAGAAACGTAAAATTCAGGTAGAGAGACAGACGAGGACAAAAGAGGAAGATGAGGTGAAGGGTGAGAGGGAGACGCGCGGACGAGAGCAGAGATCTCTGCCTCGCAGCGATGTTCAGTTTCTTTGGAGTATCGACGATAATAATACGCTGTTCTCTGCCTTCCTGAAAAAGGGGAGAATGCGTCACTGTAACCGGAATTCGAACTCTCGCGGATCGTCAACAACTTCCAAGGAAGAAAGTATCTATCCACCTTCCGACCCGGAATCGAGAAGGAACGACTTATTTGAAACTTACGGCCGATATTGTCGATCCTGACTTGTCGACGCTGTCTGTTCACCGCGATGACTATAAACACAATCATTCAATTTTTATTACACAACACACGAGGGACATTTTAATGACCATTCGTAACTATTGGATGTTAGCTTTAACTACCCAGCGTTGCCCGAGCTACCATAAAATATCAAGTGGATTGAATCAGAAGCAATAGGGACTGTCCAGGTTTCATGGGATAACCTAACGATATTTTCCTAAAAAGTAATTGTACAAAATCAGATCGGTTAAAGAGTTCAGGAGTTTATAGGGAACATATAGACAGACGTTCTATCTTCTATGTATAGATTATATCCGAACGTTATCAACATTTTTCAATGTTGAGCAAGACAAACTTTAGAGAGAGAGAGAGAGAGAGATCGCGAGTGCACCGACTAAATATCAAGTATTTATATCTCGAAACAGTTTCCTCTTCCGGCCGATCATCAATGTCGGAGTGCCACTCGATAAACTGACCGCCCATCACGATTGCGCAACGCCAAGGATTCCGAAGGCCGGCGAAAAGAATCCTTCCGGACCCTCCCTTCCCTTTCCGATCGCCGTTATCGGCGCGGTCTCTAAGAGCCTTCCACGAACAACACGACGCCTAATCAGACCGCTCGTGTGTTCCAGGTCTGGTTTCAGAACAGGCGAGCCAAGTGGCGCAAGCAAGAGAAGGTCGGGCCCCAGGCGCACCCCTACAACCACCCGTACCTGAGCTCAGGTGCGCCACAAACGTCGCCGGTGATGACGCCGACCTTGCCGAACCCCTTCGCCCACCTGGGTACCTTCGCTCTGAGGAAGCCCTTCGACGCCTTTCGCTATCCGCCGCTGGGTCACGGCCCGGTCCTCCCCGGTAGTTACGCCGCGCATCCCTATCATCGCGCACCGCCGCCGCTGCTGCCGCCCGGCATGCCGCTGCCGTATACGACCGCCGCCTCTTTCCAGAGTCTGTTGGCGAACATTTCGGCAGCGCAGAGGCCGAAGCTGGTGCGCGGCTCGCCACCACCGTTGCCACCGCCGGCACCTGCGATCGCCTTGCCGCATCCACCTGTGGCACCGCCACCCCCGCCGCCACCGACGGCTACCTCTCCCCAGAGCTCGCCCACGGGTAGCGTGGGGCTGCCGGACATCGACAGGAGGACCAACAGCATCGCCTCCCTCAGACTCAAGGCTCGTGAGTACGAGCTGCATCAGGAGATGATGCGTAAGAACGGCGACCTCATAAGTTGAGATGCCGCTGATCGAAACGCGCGCGCGAAGACGAGCCGAATGTCGGACGGTCGTGAATCGATGGATCGCGAGATCTCCGGGGAGGGTGTAGTACGCTTGGTTTCAATACGGCTTCAGCATTCTCTCTTCGATGCGGAAGTTCGGAACGCAGCCAATTCCAACTTCACTTCGGGAGCTAGACAAGTTTTGAAACCGAATGTAATATCGAGAGGGATCGATACCGAGGAAGTGATATCGAGAAGGTTGAATCGTATACCCCCGTGTATGGATGCTTTTCAATTGTTTAGAGCCTGGAGTCGTTTAATGCGACACGCGATTTAGACGAAACTTCCAAATATTCTGCCGAATTTCGTACGCAAACGAGCACGATATTCGATCGAAAAACTTGGCGAAGTGATGGACAATGAGAACAGTCGAACGAATCTCAAGTGCTGCAATTTGTGCAAAGTTTTTCGCGTGACGAGGATCAACGTCAAAACTATTCGCGTCGATCAAAGTAAGCTGATTGATTGTTACTTGCTTAACCCTTATACTCCGGGCAGTTTTTTGAATGACTCTCTTACGGTCTTTGAAGTAAAAGCAGTTTTCTATATATGTCAAAGGATAAACTAGTAAAAGCATGACACATCGTCGCGCCATTATAGTGGTTTCCTGGATTGCACGGTAACTATTTCTCCAAATTGATATTTTTTTATGTGATCATGCAGAAACCTTTTCGTATTAAGAATTACTTATTCTTGGTAAAATTATGTAAAAATATATGTGTGATAAAACAGAATCAAAATATAAGACGAGATGTCTATTATTATTTGCATAAATTCCAACGTATATTATCAGTAAAACGCTAAAAACTATGAAATAACTATGTTTGTATATTTTTTTAAATTTCTTAAAAACTTTTTGAAGGTTTGAAGGTTTGAAGGTTTTATATTTTTATAAATTTTTGTTTTACTAACTTGTCTGTATGGAAAAGGTGGACAATAATAACAATAAAAATTGTATTTGATAAAAATTGCTAACGCGCCACTATAGTGGTTTCTCGGATTGTAAGGATTAAGTGTCCCATCGAGTTCTCATTCGTGATAGATGAAGAGTAATGAATCGCGATGAAGCCTGATCTAGCAGCTTCTATATCGTTCACCGTTCGCCACTATCCACGACATCGCATACAGAACGCGAAACCAGCGTCACGAGGTAACGGGGAACGCTAGGGAAGGAAGAGTGAAATCACCGTTACTCATGTACTGTACGTAGTTTGCAGCATTCGGTACGCGAAGGAACTGATGCAACTGCGCAAATCGAGAGGCTCGCTCACGCGTATATCGTTTGAATCTGTTTCACACGCGTCGAGAGAGGTAGGTTTCCTAATTAACTCGCATAATCGGTAGTCACATCGGCTCCCACTGAGGCTCTCATCTCTCGCATGTTGTACGACGAATGAATTTTGTTGGGCGATTGTGTGCGTCTGTGGCGCGGGACGAGAGCTCTCCTCGAAGCTTCGTAAGCTTCCTGTCCGAAGGAATTTGTCGTGGGACAATCGAGTCATTAGACTAATGTAGCGCGGATCGTTGGAGATACGTGCACGCAAAAAAAATTTCAGTTGATGCAACCAAATAAGAACCAACTGAAATTAGGTAATCAGAAACGATATCTCTGTTATGAAAACTAATATTTCTGTTGTCGCAACCGAAAATATTCGTCTGAACATTCAACGATATTAGAACTCGGTTGAGGCAACTGAGAACAATTGACTATACAGAAGTCTCATAAAGGAATTTTTCTGTTCCTACAGCCGAGTTTTCGTTTGATCCCTGGGAAATCGAAAATTCGGTTGCACCAACAGAATTCTTTTCTCCGTGTGTGAAACATCTCAGTTCTAGCGTGTCTCTCGAATTGCGTTACGTGACGGATCCGAGTTAAAGGTGGAATTTTTGCTCGGCTAATGAAGGTTAATGAAGGCAACAATTGGCGAGAGTACAAAGGCGATTTAAATGCGACGCGTGGCTGACAGCGAGAAACGTATTGTTTCGCGAGATAGTGTCATAAAAGAGTCATCAGCGAAAATTTTACGGGCATTCTTGTTGAATCCGTCACGATTAATTAAGAATCGCGTAAGCCGACGCTCTCTCGTTAAAAAATCGCGAGAGAGACAAGAGGAGTAGCCACTCGCGATTCCAAAGTGATCATCGAAAAGTGTCCGTCCACGAGAACTTGTTCGATGTCGCGACGGGAAATATCGAAATCTTAGGAACTATTCCAAATAGAGTTTCCTACATTTTCCACGAGGAAATAAATCTGCGAAGGATGCGGCATCAGTTTGAACGTCAGATCGAACATTCACAGACTGTTCACCAAATTCTCAAACGAAAAAGTGCAACCTTCGAGATAGCCCAAAGGGGGATCGTTCTCGTCGCGATCGACAAGATCTCGCACATCGTTGATCGTTAATCGACGATCGCGCGGCGCGAAAGTGAACGCGCGTAGTTTTATTTACTTTTACATATCATACGTTATATACACTTTTAGATAAAAAAACGAAGAGAAAGAAAGATATACTATTTATATATAAATCTATATATACTTTATTTACAATTGAGATATATATATTCTACGCTATCGCTGTAGGTTTACGACTGTGTAAGCATACTTAGCGCGCCTTGTAAATAACTGTGACGACCGGCGTGTCATTTTTAACGAGGCCTTGCAATCACCTGTTTCTGTTTTCGTAATGTACGACGAGGCACGTGCGCGTAGCCACGACGCGGCTATTTCTCGATCGCGTTCCCATCTACGATCTCATCGTCTCTGATCCATCCGAAATCTTTGGCGCGAAGCGGTCCGTGCAAGAGCGGCAAATACAAAAGCCTAACAACGCATCGAGCGTGCGGAGCACGCGCGGAAGGCACAGGAATGATTAATTGTATTCCGCTCTTCCATCCGGTAGGATAATCAAAGCGGTATGTGATTGAGATCGAGATGGCGTTATCGAGTCGAATGTTTCTCGAATCGCGAATCAGCCCCATGTGCATTGTACTTACTCTTATTATTACCTCTTTATCCCTTCTTTGCGATGAATAAATGATTACGATCAAGAGAACGCGTATTTTACTCAACGACCCTGCCACTACCTTCATTTAAAATATAATTATAATGAGCTATAATTTTAAGGACTTTACTCTCTCTCTCTCTCTCTCTCTCTCTCTCTCTCTCTCTCTCTCTCTCTCTCT